AATATTTCTATTAGAGAAATAGAAAATTTTTTATTTCACTTTTTCCACCACCAAGTTTCTGCCGAATATCCCCACTACTCTTACCTACGCGCAGGGCATCATGGGCCCGAAGGGGGTGCAGCCATAAACTTTATGACTTGGGACAATTTCGCCTAATGGACGTCGGGAGCTGGAGTAGCTCCGAGAGCTGAGGTTGCCCACCTCTGTTTTAGACGGTAATTTGGATCCACTATTGAATTCATAGGCTCCATGTCACATAATCGTCCCCTTTCCCCATTCGACCTTTTTCAATATGGCCTCCTTTCGAAGAGTATTTTATCGCCGCTTTTTTCCCATGTTCTAATGATCATTAAATGACTATTTTCTATCTTCTAGAGTTTTTGTCGACTTTTGCAATCCGCAATGTTTTTTTCTCATTTTTTTCGGCGTTTAAGTGCGTGACTTCCTTAAATAGTAACTGATTTAGATTTTTTTTTTAAATGTTCATTTTCTATCACCCATAATTAACCGTGGCTATATATTTTTTATATATCACGTTCCATGAGATTTCATCATAAAAGTGTAACAAATCCTTATTTTGCCGACTTAGAACAGATTATTTTTTCGCAAAAAAATCAGTGAATTTGTGGTATCAAAAAAAAAAACTTTCACCCGAATTTTTTTTTCTTGTGATTTCACAGAAAATCGATTTGCTGTGGTGAAAGTTTCTTTTTTTTTTAGATTTTTTTGAAAAGAAAATAATCGGGTTCGAGTCGGCGACAAGCAGACAATTATGGGACTGTAGATGAGTTATTAAAATGCAAGGGTCTCTTTTTTTGCCATCAACAAATCAATAGCGATCTTCCGGATCGTTCTTACGATCCGTTGCTCGAATATGCTGTTCCCTGTTAAGTTAGGTGTATTAAGAATGTTGAATGATGTATCTATTAAGAATGTATTTAATTGAAATTTCAAGATAAAAAAAAAACCTAATTCGATCAGGTCAATTCTGAGATGTTTCACATAATCATTTTTAGACACTAAGAATTGAATATCTCCAGAACTTGTTGTTCAATTATGCTCATTTTCAATACCATCCTCTATAGCGATAAATGGACAATCTCGTCCACATTTGAAGTTATTATATTCAATGTTCATATTCAAAGACATAAAAATAGTAATATCTATGATTTCTGCCAGCGTTCACTTTCCAATTTCTGATCGATTCCAATAAATCAATCATGATCGAACGCGTGAATTTAAAAAAAAATTGAATACCTTGCTTAGTTTAGGAGACACTAAAAAAACGGTTGATAGACAAATCACGATTTCTCAAAAATCGCTTGACCGATCGAGCTCAATCTGGGTCCAAAGTTAGCCTCAACTCTTACCTAGTACCTGATGAAATCAGAGAGGACCACGCAGACATTTTCAAAAATTTCGTATTTTAACATTTCAGACCATTCTACACTGTTTCCGAGCAAAATTAGATTTTTTTTGTTTGGTCGGAATTAGACGATTACATTGCTTCCGTTCACAAATAAAAAAGGCATTGTTTAGTCTTTTATGATATGATCTCATGGAACGTCATGTACAAAAAAATAGCCATGGTGAATG